GAGAGAGAGAGAGAGAGAGAGAGAGAGAGAGAGAGAGAGAGAGAGAGCTCTATATTGGTCATGTATATGAATGATTATTCAGTTACTCAGTCATTTCCAAGCCATTATGTCCAAGATTTTCTGCCAGCCACTGGTCTGCTAAGTTCTTGTACTCTCTGGTTTGTATCATCAATGATAGGATTTAGCCACTTTGTCTTCTGACAACAATTGTCTTCTATTTTTTTCCCTACATTATGTGTCCAAAATCTTTTAAGTTTAGCTTCATTATTAGCATTTCTAATGAGCTGTCTCATTGAAATATGGTAGCCCATATCTAAGAGGAAAGATTATTTCTCCAAGATATGTAGTAGTACGTCTTGCATTACTGATACCATATAGGTGTTGTCTACAGAGGGAACCTGCTAAAACACCTGAGGCAGCAAAGTTTAGAAGCTCTGAGATCAGGATTGTGCAGTTCCCATCTCTTTATGCAAAAATTCCTATGTCTGTAACACTTACACCTTACATGAGAACAGACCTTGAGCAGATCTTTAAACAACATAAGTCATGATGTTTTGTTTTCAAGTATATAAAATCATCACTTAAAAGATTTATAAAATTATCTCTAAGTTTGATTCCCATGGAATTTCCTGCAAGGAATATGACCCTCTGATTAGGCAAACAGTGAATAGCCAATTGTTCTGAAAATGAATACATTGTTGATATTCATTAATGCATAGTCAAGGTTTTGTAGTGTTCCTTACAATATTACAGTAAACTAAAGAAAAGGAAATGCTGTTTTAGTTACAGTACAGTTGTGGCTCTGTTAAATATTTTTAATTGCGACTTTAGCCCTGAGATTATGTCCTAAAAGGCAGGTGTCTGAATTCAGAATAAGCCAACTGCACTAAAGCCACAATGTGATAAACCTGCACAAAAACATTGAATTCTGGAAATTCTATTGACCTGTTTTGGGTTAGTGACATTTCAGTAGAAACTAAACCTGAACACTTTGACAGTTCTGGGTTCCAGATATTTCAGTGGGGATCTGAACAAGCCTCTTGTGCTACAAAAATCTGAATGGCTACCAATCAACAAGAAAAATGTTGCAGAAAACTTTTTTCTGTTATCTTGTGATCATGCAGATTTTGGCACCTAAGCTCTGGTTGCATTAGCTCTACCTGAAGTTAAAACAACCTCTTAATCTGCAGGATACATATTTAATTGGAAGGAAGGCCAATGGGTACAGTTCATGTCTCTTTTTGCATTCACTGAATGTCATGCTGGAGGAAAGGAAGAATCAAATCAAGAAGCAGAAGTAACAGGGAAGCTACTGAATAATGGAGAACCAGACTGGGAATTCAGCAATTAGAGCAGCATCTTCCTTCAATGTGCAACAGAAAAACAGACTCACAGTCACTATAAAAAAGACCTTCTCAAGAAATAGTAATATACCTTGTAAATAAGACAAAAATGCTTGTGTTGATACCAGAAAATAATCAAATTCCATTGATAAATTTTGGATGGGACAAAGATTGCCCTACTTAGATTTTATATGCTTGATCTTTCTGGAACCCCTGAAGCTGCAACTATTATTATCACTTTCAAAATAATTTATTCCTTGCATCCTTTGCTATAGCCAGAATTCCTCTGAAGCAACCAAGGTGGGAACGATTCAGAGAGCATGATTACTTATTTTCTGAAGAGAAAGCTACATGGCTGATCAGCCAATTTGATTGCGAAGAATGGAAATCAAAGCTTGTGATCATCAATGACACAAAAGAACTGGTAAGTTAATGGTCACCTGGGAGGAAATCAACTTCATCCTTGAAAGGTTTATGCTCTTATATCCCTTTAACCTGGGAAAAGAATCATGTCAGGATCTTTAGACCATCCCTTGAATGAGTGAGGCAATCACAATCCTCTGACAAAACAGGTATAATTCCAGAGGAAGATCATTTATCATAGTGGGATTGTATGATGGAATATGAAATACAGCAATGTCCAGGTTAATGTGCGAAGCAGACCTACCTTACATTTTGGATAGATTAACCATGAGTCAAAACAATCAAGAGTTATCAAGTGCTTGAAAGAAATATAAACTTTGCAGTGAGGACTATGGGTGAGAGGAATGAGAGCAAGTGTATCCTGAGGAATGCATATATGTCATTGGGTTCTCCAGTAAAGATAGTTTTTACTTATAAGGAAACTCTGCTTTTGAAGGGTACTGTTTTATGTTTGATGGGAACTGTTGAATTGGAGAGTGAATGTCACACAATGTTAACCACTCAAGGTGCACTTTAAAATAGAGGAGGATGAAATATGAAGTATGAACATACTATTTTAGATCCAAGAGAAACAACTATGGATTATAACTTTCTGTGCTAAGCAAGAACTTCTTAGCATCTTTAAATATAGTTGGTATGTTTAAATTACTTTTAAAATGTCCTTATAATTTGGAAGGGACCCAGGCATTCTTTTATTTTGCAGTGAACTCTGAAAGGAGAAAAGTTTGCAAATTGATTAGCATAAGTAACATCAGCAATATTTTAGCTTCCCGGATCAAATGGTTCATCTTCAAAATCACCTTGAAGTGAATCTGAATACCAAAACAAAGCTGTCTGCTTTGGAGATTGATATAGTCTTCTTTTTCTTTTCCAAAGCAAAACATGTTTTAGGGTCCAAACTGCTGCTTGTGATTTTCATGGCCCCTGATAAGAACCTTTGATTTTCCATATTTATTTTATTTTTCTCACCAGGAATTTGTTATTAACAAAACAGCAATGGCTAATTATTTCATTGGACTCACCTATTCAGAATCAACAAAAAAATGGGAATGGACTGATCACAAAGAGCACAACATGAACCTGTATGTTTCATTTTTTGCTACTTCTCTGTTTTAGGGAGGGATCTATTTTCCCCATATGCAATAATTTTGTATGTTCTGCTTCCTTTCATAGATGTGCAATTTCCTTTTTAAATCTACATGAAAACACTGCAACTAGCTACTTATATATATATTTTCTCAAAGGTTTATATATTTACTTTTTTCCTTTCTTAAATGATAATATGGACCATCTGTAGCTCACAGAATATTTACTGGTTGAATCCAATACTTTCCATGTCTCCAGTCCAGTCCCTAATACATTCTCTAACACATTACTATTTTTTAAAGGTCTACATTTAGTTTGCACACTATTACTGAGAATTTGGAACTCTGTTCATTCACAATTCTGAAGGAGCACTGGCATAGAATTGTGTACACAAAACACGAATGAAGTACTGCTGCAGCAGTTGTTCACTTTCTATGGGCCTTTTGTTAAAATATATCTATTAAGATTTATGATTTTTTTACGTACCATTTTATGCTTTTCAATGAGCGGATCCAACACATTTATATTTAAAATTAGGATTTGACTATAGCCAATTTTTAGTATCAGTTTTAGAAGGGAGTTTAATTCTGGAACTCTTAACACATCCATAAAGTTGAGGAGGATGACTATTAAATGAACACTGACTTACACATGAAGTAGTGTGCGATGAGAAGACTCTGATTCAATTCTTTGAAAGCTAAGCAACATCTACTTGCCCAGAGACAACTTGTGGAGTGTGTACTTCCTTCTTGGCTTTATTTTTGTGTGTGTAGAGGAGAACAATTCATTTTCATTATAAAGGGGCATTATCATATGGTGAACTTTTGAGGCAGCCAAATCCAGTTATTATTTAATTAACATTATTGGCCCAGAATGAATTGAAATGTTGATCACTGTGGTTTCAGATGAGTTGAAGTTCTACAGGAACTTTTCTCCTTTTGATCCTATAATGGTTTGCCAGTTCATTTAACTCCAAATAATTTCTTACTGAACTTCTCCTAGAAAAAAAATCAAGAAGAGCTCAAGAATTCAGTTTGTCCTAGCTCCGACAGGCTGAAGGAGTTAATTCTGTATTCTGGATACAATATTTTAATTAATTAGGATTAATTGCCAATTTAATTTTAATCAGAGCTTTATTTTCTTTTTGCATTTAATAAGCCAGAACAAAGAATAAAATTAGAAATAGTAAAAAAAAAAAAAAAAAAAGCAAAAAAAGTGATACCACAAAAACGATCCTTTATTAAGGTTAGATTTCTATTCAGTTTTTTTGCCATTTTGCCCTTTATGAAAGTTAATCTCCAGTTTTGGTTTCTTCATGTATATCATATTTTTGCTAGTGAAACATACACACTTTAGCTTATTTCTTCATCCCCATGTTCCTTCCCAAACTATCAAAAGTTAATGGTAACCATATAAGTAACCAAGTTTTTCTAATGATAATATTATAGGGAAGGAATATTTGAAATCTCTTTTAAATTCTTAGTTACTTACTACTTTTCTTAACTTTATCTGGTCTTTTGGGGTAAGTAACT